ATTAAGAAGTTCACCTTTGGCCTTGACTGGGTTCCCAAGAAACTGGGTGAGCTAAGATATTATTAAATGTGTGTGTTGAAAGGATACTGTACACAAGAGTGTGTATTCCTAACCTAAACCTAAACTCCCTGTCGACTCAAAAAAACCCCAAAAAACAGAAGAGGGAATGGAACAAAAATGGTGCTATATGCAGAAATATAATATAATATGCATAACTATGTGTTCATTAGTGTATAATTACCTTAATAAATGAATCATTATGTTTGTGTTACAGACGCCACAGGTTGCCTTCCATTTAGTCTGCCATGTTAAACCACCATATTTCTACAGTAGCCCAAAAGGGACAAACCAGACACTGCCTCTAGATAGGGTCGTTTGCATTTTTTTATGCCTTCGTGCTTGAAAGGGGAAGGTGAAGCGAGAAAGTTGTTATCTTCAACCATACCGTTAGATGGCACTAAATCCTACACACTGGACCTTTTTAACTGTTTATCATTTCTAAGAATCCTGTTGACAATTTTAATATAAATTAAAGAAAGAAATAAAGGTGTGGAAAACAAACATTTGGACAATAATGGATGATGGGTGATTTGAAATGTAAAGTAGTTTTGAACGCTGTATAATTTTCTGTTGTGCAGACGTGAGCATCGACGTTCCTGATACTCTGGACCTGAGCGCCCTACTTGCAACTGGCCAGCAGCCAGGGGAAGAGCTTCTACCAGAGGTGGCCCCGCCCCCACTCATGACCCCAGATGTGGAGGTTAAAGGTATCCTGGGTTCCCATGGCAACGAGGAGGACGACTCGCTCTACTCCCCACTGCTGTGTTAGTCTGTCATTTCTGCTCTGTTCCTTCCTCCTCTGCGACCCTCTTATTTGTCCACTTGTTTCCTCCTTTTCTTTCTTTCTGCCTTTTCTGTTTTCTCGTCCTTCTGTTGCCTTATTTATTTTATTTATTTATAACTTATTATTTTATTTATTTTTGTGAAGTGATTTGAGTTACGTTTCAAATTTCAATATATCAATGGGTCTGTTCTTGGAGTTTATGAGATGATGTTTCTATATATTTTTTTTATTTTATTATTTTGCCTTTTGTCAATTATTTTGGAAAGTTTTGTTAATAATAAGAAAGTTCTCAGTGCAAAAAAATAAAACAACAGTGTTTTTCCTTTTGCAAATAATCAGAGTTCTTGTCAGCAAGGAAATGCACATTCCACAAATTGCATCCAAGTAATTAAACTTTTTCCTCTCTTTTTCAGCTCCAGTCCTTGATGATTCCACTGTGTCCCAGTTATGTGAAATGGGATTCCCACTAGAGGCCTGCAGGAAAGCGGTCTACTACACCGGGAACACTGGAATTGATGCTGCCATGAACTGGATCATGAGCCATATGGATGACCCAGGTGTGCAGACCAGTGGGAATTTCCTAGAAAACAAATCATCAATCAGTCTGACTCGTCCTCTCACTCTTCATGTTCTCCTCTTTTTGATTGGCGGCAGACTTCGCGGCTCCTCTGGTGTTGCCAGGCTGCAGCTCCGGTGCTGGGACCACACCCACAGAAAGCCTCTCCGAGGAGCACCTGGCAACCATCGTTTCCATGGGCTTCAGCCGAGACCAGGCAACCAAAGCACTTCGAGCCACGGTTAGAATCAAACTCCTTCCAGATAGAGATGGAGATTTTACTCATTTCACATGCCACTTAAAAGTTGAACCGTGCCAGTACAGGCACAGCTGCTCCCTTCTTATTCAGACAGTAATGTAGCCAAGTTTTCGTCATGCTTGGAGACTCTAACCAGCGTTGGCCTTAATACCTCAACAAAGATGAGTAGTAGGATTCTACTTTAAGTTGCATTAAGCTAAGCTGTCTCAGAATCACTGGTAAGAGATATTTCTTAGATTTTAGTTACTGTATGTCCAGGATTTATGTAGTGTGACAAAATAATTTAGAATAGCTAACACGATTTTTTTCCTACATGTCCAAATGAAACTGCAAATTAGTTTTAAAAACACTGAATATATTGTGTCTCAGGACAGAGCACCACTGATCAACGTGAGTAACAGACAAAACACAGAAAGCACCCGGTAACTAACCTTTCCACATGGCTTTTTACTGAAGCCGCAGCAGAAAATGTTTAGTTTCATTTGTGGAAGCTTAATTTAGATGTTTTCCAAAGAAGCTGCAGGTCAAGACCTACAGTACATTTAGAAAATGTTTTGCCGCTTATTTGTCGGCGGGTCACTTTTACACAAGGGAACTAGTCAGGCAAAGAGCTGCAGGTACCAGTTTGGGTGACCCTGAAACCTCCAGCACAGATAATTAAGGTAAGCAAAGCTTTTTTTCTTTGCTGTTGATCCGTCATTAGCTACAGGACCAGTCTCATGCTGTCAAAAGTTTTATTATGACATTGAGCTTGTTGTTGAAGTAAAGTTAAATAGTATTTTAAATGCTTTATTAAAACTCAATAATTAAACGCAGCCACATAATGCTATGTCAAACATTTGTACAATCCATCTAATATATTTTGCAGTGTTTCTATGATCTAATGGCCAGCCTCTTAAGAAATCACATCAGCTATCTTTAGCCCTCTAACTTGTAAAATATATTGTACTTGTACTGTAAAATCAAAACACACCACACATGCTTATATTTGACCAAAAGCTCCATTTGACAGTATTCTCTAATCATGTCTCTGGTGTGTGTTTCAGAGTAATGTTCTAGACCGGGCAGTGGACTGGATCTTCTCCCACCTGGATGACCTCGAGTCCATGGATGTGTCTGAAGGCGGTCGCTCAGCCGCAGAGAGCGAGGGTGGCAGAGATCCTCCGCCTGGGCCTCGTGTCCGAGACGGACCAGGCAGTGAGTACCAAGGAGAGAGAGAAATATGAGAGAGGAGGCATTTAAAACGATCATTACCTCAGAATGAATATTGGCTGCAGAGATGGGTTCAGAAGGCAGCAATATGAACAACTCTGGTTTAAAGTCTAATTTTATTCAATATTTTATAATATCTAATATATATGTTTTATAATTATAATCGTGGTTCCTTTTCTTAATCCAGAGTACGAGCTGTTTGCGTTCATCAGTCACATGGGGACGAGCACAATGTGTGGCCACTACGTCTGTCACATCAAGAAGGATCAGCAGTAAGTGTTTGTATCTCTAGCATTGAGGGATGTTTCAAAGCCCAAACTTGAGAACGTGAGAACCGTTCAAAAATATTACAGAAACCAAAAAATTGATTGGTTTAATTTCACTTCTTTTATTCATTAAATGTCTTTATTCTGTTGTTATGTAATGAAGTAGCTGGTGTTACAGTGCCTCAGCAGGGGGCAGCATACTCCAGGTCTGGTCTGAACAATAATAGCTGCTGACTTCAAATTATTAACCTGTCATAAAACTGAGGTTTGAGTGGTTTATATCCATTTAGGTGGAAATGTGCAAATTTATTTGCTCATTTTTTTCTAATTTGTACTAGGGGATGCTTATTTTAGCGCAGTATGACCTAAAATTGCTCCAATATGACCATTATTTGTTCAGATATTATGTTTTTTTGCTCATTTGGGAAGAGCAGCAGTCACTTTAACCAAGTGGTGGGTATTTTACTTTCAAATAAGACCTGTTAGTTTAAAAATCCACTCTGTTCTGTATAATCAAATACATCCCCTGTCTGTTATCTAGTAGCTCTTTGTGAACCGAGTGATCTCTCTGTCTCACAGGTGGGTCATCTTCAACGATCAGAAGGTGTGTGCTTCTGAGAAACCTCCCAAAGACCTGGGATACCTCTACTTCTATCGGAGAGTGGCTGAATGAGACAAGGGAGGGAGCATTACACTTGGGGTGACGGAGGAAAAATGTGGACGTTAAGACAAACACACGAAGACAACATTTGTAGTTGCACCCTACCAAGCTCTTACAAATGCCCTGGCACGCTTCACAACTGACAAAAGTGTAAATAAATCTCTCAGATTGCATATATACACAGCTAAATAAATGGGTGCAGATGTACAGATATGGTGTTGGAGGTTGGGGGGGGGGATTTTTCTTTTGAGCCATTGATTTAAAACAATGGGCCTGTTTAGAGAAGAAGAATTTGTCACCTGGACGATTATGCTGAGTAATACTGAGAACCATCTGAAATCTGTTAAAACACATCTGTTTCCAGGTTTTACTCAGCAATTGTATCCAGATAAATCAGAAAACCTGCTTCATGGAACAGGCCATACACTCCTTATTAATAAGTATGCTTAACCATCACCGTTAATCTGTGTCCTGACTATTGATTTTCACTGCCATCAGTAGTCACTGCCTCTCCCCATCAAAATATGTCGCTTCCAGCCCCCTTCTTCTTTTACTGGACGGTTGCAGCTCAGTGTCACCTGTTAAGCCCGGCACTAACTTCTCCTCTTCCCGTTTCAGTAAAAAACAGTTGAAGATCCACGATGAGAGGAAATGTCAGTGAATCAAACAAATAAATAACAGCTGAAATGTGTGTTACAAAAAGGAAATAAAAAAAAAAAGTCACCAAATCAACTTGTTTTTTCTTAAAAGTTTGGTGAGGGTCATATCTGGGTGATTTTTGTTTTATTTTGTTTTTACTTTGCAAACAAATCCTTTGTTACTTTTGCTGTGACAAATAAAGAATTGTCTTTCTGTCATTCTGCATTTCTTCTCTTTTAATAAGTCATTATGGAGTTGGTTTTCAGCTTACTCTTACATCTCTAATTCCCACATGATTGCAACACGATTATAAGTTGGTGCCTAAATCCTGCGAACTTTAAGTGAGAAGAACATATGGTTAATGCTTGTATCCTTAAGGTTATTTATATACTTAATATTATTAGTATAAATACTTATATATATTTAATAGTGTCTTTAAGTTACTGTACATAAGTTTACTCAGCTTCATCTAAAAACTGCACTATGTATAAAAACCCAGGCCTAGTTGGTGAGAAAGCGCGAGCATGAAGAGCAAACCCACAGAGATCTAGGGTTTGCATTGGCATACAACTTCATAAACAGCAGGTTCCTTTTCAGATCTCTTCCGCCTTCTACAGTTTTTGCATCCTTGCATTTTTGTTTGTGAAGCACAGAGAGAGGATGAGGAAATATTTTGGCCTTCTATAAAAGCACAAAAGACTTCACTGCCACAAATACCTTAAGGTAAGGTATCAAACTAGATCCTGAAATTACAATTTTATGTTGTAAAATGAAATATTTGGATTTAATGTGACAGTTCGGAAACCATTATTCTTTTAAAGCGTAAACTGAAAGTAATGCCGGATGAACCAAGTTAAACAAACGCGTAGTAAATATATTTATAACATAACATTTATTAGTTGCTGTTACGTATCTCTGTAAATGTATATTTTTTAGAAACCAGCGTAGGAGTCTAGATTAAATACTCTTAAACAACTGTGAAGGAAAATGTGCTCAACCATGTTTCCAATCCCTTTGTGTGTATGTCAAGGTCAATTCTATTTTAAGGGTTAAAGAGTCTTAATGATCTCAGTTTATGACTATTGTTCAGTCGATGAGGTGAAATATATTGACAATATGTCAAATAAGACTATAGATGAATTTTAAAACCTTCATCTAAAACATCTGTTTCTATTGTAATTGTTCTGACTATCCAAAATAACAAATTCAAAGATATTTTTTGTGCCTTTAAACTGAGAAATTGTTCAAATAGAATTAAGTATTTTAGTTTGCCATATTTAATTCTTAAACCTTTCAAAATTATGAAACATCAAAGAACACAGTGTGACAAGGAAGGATGAATCGCTTGTCAGACGTTTTATGAGAATTTATTTGATTCAGTTGCCTTATTAGTTACAAAGCTGCACAAAATGATTCCTCTTTTAACAAACTTCTTATTTCTGACGTCTGACGTACGATCAGATTGATTTGGAACAAATTAACACAGATTATTGAGCAAGTTATTTAAATACAAAAGAAGTTAAACATATGTTGAAATTGTACCAGTGACATTCGATTCAGTTTTTTATGTTTTTTTTAATGTCTAAATAGAAAGTTTTAAGTGTTTAAAACAGGAGATAGCAAGAGGAAGGAAGTAGAGACACAGCATCTTGGTGGTTAGGGATCACACGGTGCTCGTCTCAAACAGAACCTGTGTGTGGTATCTCTGAACTGGAAATGTTTGCAGTCGCAGCATGAACTACTTTATTCAATGTTTTTCTTTAATACATTTGTTTGTATTTTACCCCCTTAGATCCAACATTCAAAATGAAGACAATTGTGTGGTTTGGGATTGGTGAGTGGATTTACTTCATTGTAAATAATCACTTAAAATAAATTCTTAATGAGTTGCTAGTAGCCTATAAATCTAAATAAGTCTTTGTTTTATGTTTATGAGACTCTCTTAATCTACCTGGGAAAATAGCTGCAGTTGTGTTTTACTCATCCAAGATCTCTGCAAACTCCCTAAATCCAACCAGATAAATTGCCCTTTAACTTCTTAAGCAGTATATGTATATCCAAAATCAAACTCATGAGGATATATTGCAATGACATCAGTTAGTCCTTGTCTTAATACACAGAGTTTGTGGTATTCTCCTGTGAATATATTGTACTAAGTGATGTGATCCTCTTTCTTCAGTTCTGGGAGCACTCTCCGCTACAGGAAAAGTGTTCATCACAAAAACAGGGACGACTACCATCTTAGAGTGTGGGGTCAACTCCTTCAGCAGAAGCCTGACGTGGAATAAGAATAATGACCGCATTTATACAATACATGTTAGAAACGGCTTTGAAGGCATGCCTATGAAAGGTATAAACAGACTTTAAACATTACCTACATTGATATATATATTTTTTTTAAACATTATTGTTGCTAATTACACTTTATTTTCTGCCCTAGGCCGGATTCCAATTGTGACAAGGTCAAAGGTGAAGGAGAAAAATCTTGAAATCTCTAAAGTGATTGTAGAAGATGCCGGAAAGTTCACTTGTGAGGCAGATGGGCAAACTCACCATCATACACTTCTGGTGGTATCAGGTAAGCAGAAGACTCATTAAATTTAAAATAAAGACTTATTTTTTGGTGATACTCATTGTATTGTTTTTACACCTACAGTAATTAGATTAATACAAGATTTTAAGTGAATTTCAAATGAATAATTTACTATCACAGGTAAGTTTTACTAATAATAATAATTTCAGCAACTTTTGAATAATTAATTTTTTAAGAAAAAAATGTGCACACACACACTTTTGTTTCAGCCTTAAAGGGTATTCCAATGATGTAGTATTGCATCTTTATAGACTTGAGGGATTCATAAGTGACAGATTTAAAAAAGTATAATATCCTGATTCTGGTCCCTAATATAGCTCCAAAAACACTGGATCCTACATTTCCCATCATACAACTCAAGAATGTCTATCTTAAAGAGCCTCCATTTCTGGTAGACTTCCACATGTTTAAAACTCCCCAAGAGAGTTAACAGGCCTTTAGTTAGAAAATGTATTATTATTTATATTATACTTCAGGAATCTCTCTATTAGCTGAGTACTTATGGGGATTAAACCGATCCCCATATGTAAAATCAGTGGAGTGGCCCTTTAATTTCATGATGTACTATCTGAAGTTAAATTCAGATGTTCCAGATTTTAAAACCAACCAAAGTACAATTATATATTTTCATTTTGCTCTTCCTATCATGTCATATGTTCTTAATGATCTGGATGAAGTCGTTTGTTCAGCATGGCGTCCCCTTTCTGTTTATGATTCTCACCATATCCTCGCCCCCGTCTGTTGTCCCTCTCTGTGTCAGTCTCAGCCAGCCCCTCTGGTAGTCTCCAGGTGGGCAGCGAGGCTACACTCCAGTGTCAGGTAAAAGGTCTGGACTCACAACCCGAAGTGCAGTGGAGAAGGCCAGATAAAAGTGCACACTCAGGGTCACTTAAACCTGTGGCCAGCTCAGATGCAGGGACCTGGCAGTGCACCATCTCCCATGATGGGACCATACACACTGAGGACCTTGAGATCAAAGTCACAGGTAGGACACTGGCTTCTTCCAAAGTCTTCACATATGTGTTTTACCCATTGATAGTATATAAAGCAGCCTGTAAGATCACAGCTAAAGACAAGATGTACTGTGTTTTTGTTTTCAGAGCCTACTACTACAAAACCTGCACCAGTCCCTTCCCAAAACTCAAAGGATGGCCGTAAGACATGCCCTGGCTGTGCGTACTGCTTGTGTTTGTTTGTGTAAACCCTCTGACTATGAGCACATATTGCCGGAAGTGACTCTTCACTGTATGTGTCATTGATTCATTATTGTCTCTTCCTGCCACGGTGTTTTTTTCATGGGTCAACCAGGTGCTACTCACCCTAAATCTCGATCTGATGCTCCTCTGATCCTGGGGCTTAATTGGTGGATGTGGCTTATAATTGGAGTTGGCTGCCTGGTTGTGATTCTCCTGATTGTCTTTGTCATTTGCTTGTGCAAGAGGATCAAAAGAAAGAAGGTAAAGTAAAGAAAATCATTCAGGGAATATTCATAAAGCCGCTTTGTAGATTTAGTTTAGTAGTTGTGATGAAGGAGGATGAGTTACTGAAGCAAACCAAAAAAATTATAATGTGATTTTTTTTTTCTGCTATAGAGAAAACTGCAGATGAAGAATAGCCGCCAACTAAAGACGCCCAAGCAGTACTGCCAGTGTAACCGGTAAATGTTCTTAACTTGCTTCTATCTAGTAAAAAAAAAGCTTTATCCCCTCTCCAGTAATCTCTACTCACTTTACAGATGCTTTCTAATAGACTCTATTCACTTTATATTAATGACAGTTTGACCTTCATTTTCACTGTGCCTTTTTACCAAGTCCTTCATTATTGTGGCGTAATTAGTGTGAAAACTTCTCCTCTTTCCTCTCTTTATCACAGCCCAGCAGCTGTAGCAAAACCGCGGCAAGGACGCCGGAGAGACAAGTCATCAGACCTCCCTCTGCAACCCCTCCTAATAGAGTGACATGAAAGGCAGATCGAAGAAAGGAGAGATAGACTAAAAAGAAAGAAAGATGGAAAGAGAAAGAGAGCGAGCGTAAGAGGAAGAGAAAGAGGCGAATAGATAGAGATAAAGAGAAAGAGAGAGCGAGTGAAAGAGAGAACCCTGGTGTGAATATGGAATGAATGTAAATGGGCTTTTGAATGCTCTTTATGAAAATAAAAATCAAATGTAATGATGTGGGCACTTTGAGCTTTTTCACCAAATATAACCAGTGAGCTGAATGCAAATAGACTCCCCCACTGCAAGAGAGAACAGCAACTGTCTGTACTTATTCTGTGCATTTATGCAGCATATTAATATGTCCTTATATACAGCCTTGTCAACTTCCTTATGTACTGCCTTGCATCTTAAATTTAATTCTGCTGATTTAGATTTTTTTAGATTTAGATGTGTTTTCTGTGAATTTGATAGATGTTTCTGTATACTTTGTCTTTGTTTCTGCAGGTTGTGAATAAAAAGTTGAGAACTGTATTGTGTCTTTTTTTTCTTAGTCAATAAACTGTAAGGATACCCGACTGATTTGTTAAGATATTTCTATCCTCATATAACAAAACAGGGTTCAATAAGTCAGAGAAAAACCAACCGTAAAGCTGTGCATCATGTCCTGTGAATCCCTTGTGCACTTAGGTACTTTTAAAGCAGTGTAGGAGAGGCGGACTCCACCAGTTACAATACAAACTACTTTATAGAGACGTAATTACTGATGGGATGTACACTGGATAGCTATTTCAAGAAAAATATTAGTATTTATAACAGTAGTATCTAAAACATTCGAATGTAAAGGATTCTAACTTTTACCTTGTTCAACGTAATATCAAGCATTTTCTTTACTCTGTCGTGCTTTAATATGCTTTAAACAGTGCCTGCATTGTTACAGAAGCTCTGTAGTCCCCACAATTGGTGCAGGACAATGCAGGTGTTGACACCAGTGCAGAACTACATGTAATGAAATACAGTAAACACCTGTTTATACACAGTAACACAAGACCACCAGTGACATACATACATACATACATACATACTCATTTGTATTTAAGAGTAAAAATAATTGATATCTTATATGAGCAAAGAAATTCTCGGATTGTGTAACATAAGCCTACTTTACAAAACTTCTACACGGTATAGATGGTGTGTGTATGTGTGATTATGTAACTATATTCTATGTAATCCACTTAGTACATAACAGATAGGATGGGATCATAGTAGTGTCTGACTTCCTGTGTGTGTGAGTGAGTGTGTGTGTGTGTGTGAGTCTGAAAGCGACACCTGCAGTGCCTTCAGTCTGCCAAATGTCATAACTGAACTCATCGCTGCACTGAGAACATCACATGTGAGTACTCCTAAACACACTGTGTATATACCCAGTGTTCTGCTTCTTCTACTTGTTATTCTACTTGCCCACAGAGGGAAGATACATAGTTAGGATAGCAATATGTCAGTCTGCGAGGACGCAAATTGTTTCTACAAATACTGACAAATCTCCTAGACGCTGCCGGAGATCCACTCTCGTAGACAGAAGCCAAAGGGGGCACCGAGGGGCAAGACTGTAGTTCTGAAATCTGGTCTCGCCCAAGGCCATATTTTTAAAACTTTTTGTCTTGTTTCACATACTGAGTGATTTGCTTTGGCCTTGGTCTGGTTTAATCTGTCTTGTTCACATTTTGCCTCAAAAACTGACACAAATAATTACAACAAAATGATGAGCAGGAAGATCTGAAAGCCTTGTGATATTTAGCTGATAACAGCACAGATGAATTGGATCAAGTAAAGCAATGCTGAATTATTTGCTCTGTGTTGTATCACCATAAACTTAAATAATAATGATAATGTATCAGTCTCAGTTTGTAGATTTGACCCTCCGTGGGGTTTGTTTCAGATTTCACCATCTTTATCTTTATGTTGTGCTGTACCTGATGACAACCGTAAGAAGGATTTCAAAATCTCAAATCAAAAATACATCAAAATAGAATTCTTTGTTCCTCATTCTCTTTAAAGTGTAACGTCAAAACTTGTGCAATAACGGACGGCAGCGTTTAGTTGATTTTGCAATCGTAAGCATTGATGGGGCGCTTTGCACAAGTATACAAACTAATTGGGTTCTTATGGAACAAATCTGTTTCTGAATATAAAAAGTATTAAAACCCCAGGAGATTGTGAATGTTTAATCTATATCTTGTTTCTTTTAACTGCTGCTGTACGCTGTTGCTAAGGAACGCTGCTTTCTGGCCTGCAAACTGCTGCTTGAACCATTGTTGCATGTTTTATCCACCAGTTATTTTAAAAAATAGATTTAAAATCATTAATTGATGATCAGAAGAATTTGAAAATAACTTCCTGACATACAAAGTCTTTCTGTTCTTACACTTTAAGTTATTTGTTGTAAATAATGTATTATTCCGAGGAGGAAGCAGAAATCATTCAGGTTTTATAACTTGTCACATAATGGCTGTTTCTTTCTAACTTGAAACACTGAAACAATCCTTATGACATGTTTTGTTTATGAATGTTAGGCCACTAATAGGGTCTGTAAAATATTTTTTGCGCGTCAAATGAGATCTGCACAATGAACTGCCCCTTTACAGGTTCATTGTACTGCTCATCATCTGTTGAGTACGCCCGCAGTGGGCTGACCGAACAAATAGCTTCCAATATGCTTTGAATAATGCCTTAAGAAAAGCTGTATATACCGTACTGTAACATATACTGATCATGTGCTTGTCGTAGTCCACATATACTTCATATGGCATACAGCGTATACACAGGTCACATTTAACCCATCACATAGTTCTACCTTTATTCAATCTAATATTAAAGAAACATGAAGAAAGATGAAAGCTTTAAAACAAATTGAGAGTCCATGTTTGTGTTTGTGTTTGTAGGTTCATGTTTGACACCGTAACAAATTATGGTTTGTTGTCTGAAATAAAACAAAATAATGATTATTTATTATGAAATGTATTTTAAAAACAACTCACAACACACTGCTAAATTATACTGTTATTCAGTAATATAAGTACTTTTTAGCCAGAAAAGCCTAAAAATGTATCCCAGAACAAACCAGTCTGTATGTTATAAACTTATGACTCTCATCATTTTTGAGTTATGACTAACATTAAAAATAATACCAACTTAAACATTATTCAGGACATAACAAAATGGCTGATCTAACACAGTTGGAGCAGTGAACATTATAAGTTGCTGACACAGATAAATGCATTAAACTTACATAATGTTCCTGTGTGTGGTTGGCCAGCGACGGATTGGACACTTTCATTACCCCTTTTTATTTAAACTTTTTCTTTAGGTAAACATATTTGGTGTTTTTGGATTGTTTTTATGTGTGTGAATGAGCCTAATTGCTTGTGCGTATTTATGTGTGTAACCCTGCTTGCCTCGTGTTGTCCATTAAGGGACGTATGAAGTATTTTGAATTGAATTGATCTGACAATATATAAAGTACATAGGCTTTTAGCAATAATGCTAACTGTTTTACAGTTTTTAAAGCCACAGCAGAGATCAGCTAACCTCTTCTACATTAGTCTGTGCTGTATGTACACCCATCAGTTTAAAAGGAGTCCCCTAAGCAGGCCTACGTTATATAATATTGTACTGTCAATACGGAAGAAAAAACAAGATGTGTGCACATTTAAATTTGTACCAGTTTGTTTCAAACAACCTCGTTCAAGGTTTAAAGAGCACAGACATATTACTAGGTTAATTTACCCAGTACTAATGAGTAGAAAACAACCAAACTGTAGAAAAAATAACCTCAACACTGGGTCAAAACACCCAACAAATTTACCAGTGAGATTTAAAAGATTCACATTCACATCAACTGTACTACTGTAAAAGTAATACCTTATACATACACATGGTCCAACAACTTTAGTGGACCCAAAATGTATTCGTCAAACTACGTTTTAAACAATCAATATTTGGTTGAAGGTTTGTAGTTAATGATTGCAGACGTCAGCAGGCTCTTGGTATCTCACCTGGTACCCGCTCTGACAGACCTGTACTGCAGCGATCTTCGTGCCCTGGTTTTACCATCAGCTTGGTCTTCTGTTCACAGATACGCAGCTGTATTGACTGACTTGGTCGGTCAGTAATATCACCGTGTTTGGCCATAGAGAACTACTTGTTTAAGACCATAGTTCTGCTGCATTGTACTAAAATTTAAGGGCTATGAGTTCTACACATTTCACCCAATAACTTCTCCAAACACAGATGAAGTTGGAAGTCAGCACTTTAATCTCACAATCTTATTTTTCATTTAAAATCCATTGTGCTGGAGTACAGAACCAAAATAATGAAAGATGTGTTACTTGAGGACTGCATCATGTACAGAGAAAGAAACTCCTTCTCTCTCCGAGTGGTGAGCAGCACATCAACATTCATATTTAGAGGCTCAGTGTGTGTTTTTTTGTCTTTTCTGACGGTGATTACCAAGCTGTGTTTCCCTTATTCGGTTCTCTATGAAAATATAACATCTTTGTTGCACTGGGGGTGTTTTCATATGAGACAACAGGATTCCCTTTTCATGGCTATTACTCAGATCTCTTTCTATCATTGTCTGTTTTACACAAGTGAACATACACACACAGAATCATTCAAAGTGAAACCGAAATTTCTGAACCAGTGTGTGTCCCTCCCTCTTGTATTTCCATTTGGGTTTTGATTCCATCAATGCAAAACATCAGGAGCTGAATTCAGTTCAGAGAATGTAATTTTGATAATGGCATACAGTATATGAAGTGTACTTCTTGTGAACATCAACAGTAGTCAAACAACGTCATGTAAACACCTGGTACGAATGTGTAATGTGGTAAACACTTCTATTATGTTGAGTGCCAATCAGCAGCATGTTGATATGTGAATTTCCAGATCAACAGGAGGCAGCGAACAGTCATCTGTACTCCAACTGCAGGTGCAAATGGCACACTTTATGATTTTTAAACAATCCTTCAATTTAAAGTGATCACCTGATAGGTGATTTCCCATCCTGTAAACTCCCCTCTTGTGTAGCTTCAGGTTTCAGTTGTCAGTGCAGATTCTGATTCTGACTCGAGTCGTTGTTTAAACCACTCGTTCATTGTGATCGATTGCTGACCAGTCCCAGATGGAAATTACACATTTTGTGGCTTTGTCGCTTCATTTGAAACAAGATGGCAATTGAGTGACGCTCCCCCAGTGTTGCTAATGTGTGTAAGCTCTGCATCTTTAATGTTAAACTGCTAAACAAGACGATGCTTCCCAGTAGGCCAAGGGTAATGTTCACTGAACCAGGAAATGAAACATAATGGTAAACTGTTGTAAAGCTGTTACTAAGAGCTACATTACAGTGGATGTGGGCTCTCTAAGTGTGCTCACTTAATGTTGACGATTAAATTAAATAATAAGTACATTTACAAGTACTGTACACATTCAAGTACTTTCATTTTATCCGACATTATATTTGTACTTCACTACAT